GAAGTGAGCCTTCACATAGTTCCATAGTTAGTCTGGTTGAAAAAAGAGAAAAGACCAACCAGTTCAACCATAAAAAAAAAAGTTATAATCCTACACCCACATTTGATCCAGAGGAAGGCAAAAAAACCCAGCAAAGCATGATCCAATTTGCTCCTGGTGGGAAAAAAAATTCCTTCCTGATCCCCTGAGAGGCAATCGGATATTCACTGGATTAACTTTACCTGTAAATGTTAGTATCCAGTTATATTGTGTATCTAGGAAACAATCCAGGCCTTTTTTTTACAGCAATCCACTGAGCTGGCCAGAACCAACTCTTGAGGGAGTCTATTCCACATTTTCACAGCTTTTACTGTGAAGAAACCTTTTCTATTTGGAGATTACATTTCTTTTCCTCCAGACTCCTTGCACAGTTCCACTGTATTACACTAAGCACTTCTCTGTAAGCCCTCTTCCCGTGTGGCTGTACACCTTCTTCTCTCCTACAAATGCAGCATTTTGAGGGATAGACCTCGGGGCCCGTGTCTCACTCCACCAGCACAGCCATGATTGCCACTTCACTCCCAGTGACAATGTGGGGATTCCGCCAGACCTATAGCACAGACCTCTGTTGTGAACGAGTTTACCACTTTAAGGGATCCACTTCTCACTCTCTCCATTTTGCCGTACCTCCAGGCTAGGTGCATAGGTTCCCTGTGCCACAATGTCAGGGGGAACCAGTCACTAGGGAGAGAGTCTGCTCATCTGCCCCCTCACTACCAGGATTACCATTTCCCATGACAAGTGCTAAGCTCCCACTGGCTGGTATAACATTCTCCACCACTCCTGGTCACTCATGGCATCAGCACATTAGCCACATCTCTTGCCAATTCCTTTACACAATTAATTCTTGCATGGTGGACCTCTCTCCTGGCTTCTTTATCCCCTTTTTGTTGTTCAAGCACTGGTTCTTTTAATGCCCTGATGTCATCACAGAGGACAAGGGGGCAGTCTTTACATCTGGAGGAAAATAAATTTAATCTCCAAACACAGAAAGGTTTCTTCACAGTAAGAGCTGTGAAAATGAGAAATAGACTCCCTCAAGCGTTGGTTCTGGCCAGCTCAGCGGATTGCTTTAAAAAAGTCCTGGATTATTTCCTAGGTACACAGAATATAACTGGATACTAACATTTATAGGTAAAGTTGATCCAGGGAATATTCGATTGCCACTCGGAGGATCAGGAAGGATTTTCTTCCCTGCAGGAGCAAATTGGATCATGCTTTGCTGGGTTTTTTGCCTTCCTCTGGATCAACTGTGGGTATAGGATTATAACTTTTTTTTTAACGGTTGAACTGGATGGACTTTTCTTTTTTCAACCAGACTAATTATGTAACTATGTAAATATGTAATGCGCCATTACATGCAACCCCTTTATAAGTACTTCAGACCAGGTACCTTTTGAGTTAACTTGGAATCTTTACTGAGAAGCATTCAGTTGGTACAGTACACAGTCCCTTTACAGTTAATATATCCTCACTGTAGTTCTCCTTCATATTCAAGTTACTTACCAGGCTGTCATCCCTTACCTGAGACTAATGCAAAGTCCATAAAGTCCTTAGTTATCTTGCACCCTGACTGGGCACCCCTTTTGGGGGAGTGACCACTTCTAGGTAGAGATCACATTCTGTAGCACCCTCCTTACTTGTTCCCATGTGGAGGCATCCCACCCAAGCTGCTTCTCCTTGTATTTATAGCCTGCCACAAGGGCCAGTGCCATGAACACCCAGACGTTGGCAGACTTAACCCCTTATCAACCCCCTGGACAATTCACTGTATCAATCCCAGTGTCCCTGATCACCAGCAGACCAGTCATGTTGTCCTTGATAACCACACCAGTTACAGAGTCCCTGATCTTCGCCACACTGGTTGCAGTGACTGATCACCGCCACTCCAGTCCCAGTGTCCCTGATCACCACCACCCCAGTGCAGTGCTGCCTTTGTCTGCTGCTTCAACTAATCCTTTGCTTGTTTGCTGACCATGTCTCTGCCACCTGAACTGACCCATCTGCACATCCTGCTGACTTTGTTCCTGTAAGACACTGAAAAATGGTCTGGACTGGAAGGGGGTGAAATTGTCCGGACTTGAATTAGTTAATTAAAGCTGAACTACAGGAATTCAGACACTGTATAAAATGCTTTGTCTTACTATGGATTAAAAGAGAAGTGTGGACTTATTTTTTTTCCCCAATTATACATGTGGTATCCTCGAACTCAAGAGACAAAAATTGGCGCCCCCCTCCCCCCCTGCAAAAAGAGCTTGACATTGACCAGAGCACCCTTGCCCTCCATCCAAGCCCTCCACTACCACTGCCCACCATACACTAGCAACAATCCCCCATGGCGAGAGAGAGAAAGACACTCACCTTCACAGCTCTGGACATCCCCAGGAACGAGAGTCTGGCTGTGCATACACCGTCATTAAACCCACAGCATCTCTCAGAACCCACAAGGTCCCCATGCCATGTGTGTTCCTTCTTCTGTCCCTTCTTCAAAGGGGCAGTGCTGCCCCCCTGAAAAATGCCGCCCTAGGCAAATGCCATGTGGTAAATACACCCCTGGGTGTAATTGTAAGTATGCCCATGCTGTGTGTGTGCGAAAGAACTTGTTAAAATGACAATTTTGTTAAATTTTTTTCATTTTTCCAAAAAATTGTTCCAAAAAAAAAATTACAACTTCAAAAAAACACACCATGCCTCTTTTAAATACCCTCAACTGTTTACTTTCCAAAAAGTGTCCATTTGGGAGATATTTGTACTGTCCTGGCATTTTAGGTCCTCAAGAAATGAGATAGGCTGTCAGTACATCAGGGTTGATCAATTTTCAAATATACAATCACCGGCCTCTTTATGAGATACACTTGTGCAATTTTTTGGCAACACAAATTGCTAATCAGCCAAACACATGGCAGCAACTCAATGCATTTAGGCATGTAGATTTGGTGAAGACAACTTGCTGAAGTTCAAACTGAGCATCAGAATGGGGAAGAAAGGGTATTTTAGTGACTTTGAATGTGGCATGGCTGTTGGTGCCAGACAGGTTGGTCTGAGTATTTCAAAATTGCTGATCTACTGGGATTTTCACGCACAACCATCTCTAGGGTTTACAGAGAATGGTCCAAAAATAGGAGAAGATATCCAATGAGCGGCAGTTGGTGGACGAAAATGTTGATGTCAGAGGGGAATGGGCAGATTGGTTCGAGATGATAGAAAGGCAACAGGAACTCATGTCAATATGAACCAAAATCTCTGAGGAATGTTTCCAACACCTTGTTTAATCTATGCCAAAAAGTATTAAGGCAGTTCTGAAGGGCAAAGGGGGGTCCAACCTGGTACTAGCAAGGTGTACTAATAAAGTGAGTGTATATGCCATAGTTTGTAGATTTATAATTTCACACAAATAATTGTTAAAGTTCAGTGTTCATGTATTTTGTGTGCCAACTACATCACTATTCAGTAGAGATATATTCTTCAACCAGTAGATGGCAGTGTTATAGGTTTGTAGCTGCATCCATGGTATACTCAGAGGGATCAATTCACTAAAAGATAAATACCGCATGAATTTTTGAGTTAAAGGGTCCTTTCACATGGAGCAGACCCGTTTAGCGGATCCGCTTGCTCAGCAGGGGATCTCTCCGCTGATCCCCACTGAGCAAGCGGATGACAGATCTGTGTTCACTCCACTGCTGCAGAACAGACACAAAGCTGCTCGCTCTCCTCAATGGGGGTCAGATGAAAATGGACTGCCTGTCCGTCTTCATCCGACCCGATCTGATGGAAGGAGGGGGAATTGGATCCCCATCCGTCCCTTTTTGGTGGATTGGATTGAACGTCAGCTGGAGTAAATGGACACATATCTGTTTACACCCGCCGTTCCATAGAGGAGAATGGAGATTCCGATTGGGTCTGCCTGAAAAATGGGCAGGTGGACCCAATCGGAATATTCATGTGAAAGAGCCCCAAATAACTCATGCGGTATTTATTTCAAAAGTAATCAATTCACTAAAAAACATGCGCTATTTACGGAATGTGTTAAATATTTATGTTTTGCGATATTTAGCATTTTGCGTTGTTTTTGGTGTTTTTTCACAATTTTTTTTTGCTGCAGGCTAACACTGCACTAGACGGCACACAGCAATACTGTGAAACTATCAAAACATTGTAGTGTGCTTTCATTCACAAAATGATCTCCCTCTGGAGAAATGTTACAATGTATTATCATTCCTGAGCTCAGAGGAGAATATTTTCACATTGATACATTGTATGCTTTTTCCTTCCTGCCAGTGCAGAGTTCCTCTTGTTGTTTTGTACATTCTGAAATACCACCAGCAAACATCAGGTGATAAATAACAAATTTGTGTGTTTTTTTTAAATGAAGTGACTTTACCCATTTGCCCTCCAGAGGATTTACCCCCCTTCCTGACCAGGCCATTTTTTGCGCTACGGCGCTGTGTTACTTTAACTGACAATTGCGCTGTCATGCAATGCTGTGCCCAAATTAAATTAGCGTCCCTTTTTTCCCACAAATGGAGCTTTCTTATGGTGGTATTTGATCGCCTGTGCGTTTTTTATTTTTTGCGCTATGAAAAAAAAAGACCAACAATTTTGAGAAAAAAATACTTTTGACTTTTTGCTATTAAACATGTCCAGTAAAAAAAATTAAAAAATTTAATTTTGTCATAAATTTAGGCCAAAATGTATTCTGCTACATGTCTTTGCTGAAAAAAAATCCCAATACGTGTAAATTAATTGCTTTGCATGAAAGTTATAGCATTTACAAATGGCGGTGTATATATACTGGGCTTTTTTTTTTTTACTAGTAATGGCAGCGATCAGCAGGACTGCAGGACTGCGGTGGGCATTCTGACACTGGGAGGAGCTGACTTTTTATCACTGACATCCCCAGTGACACCAATAATAAAAAACATTGACACTGTACTAATGGCACTGGGTATGAAAGGGTTAACACGTGGGGCAATCAAAGGGTTAACAGTGTGCTGTGTGCCATTGTACATTATGGTATGTGTTTGTGCTTCACTGTAAGCACACTGCTTTGCATGGTTGTGCTGTGTACAGCCATGCAAAGCAGTGTGCAGGAGCTGACAGGGAGGAGAACGGTTTTGTTTACTAACAGTTCTCACTCCCCCCCCGTCGTAGATCCTCAGCAATCACCTGGCGCCGGCAAGTAATCACCGTCTGGGACCTGGTGACTGACAGCCGCAGGTGCAAATGGCAATACGGGTGGGGGCGTGCACACACCTCACATGTGCTCCCTACCCAGAAATGCAAAATAACGTATATATACGTGATTTTTGCACACAGCTGCTGCCCTGTAGCAGTATTTCTGCTATGGGGTGGAGCTAAAGCAGTTAATGATTTATCTCCTTTTTTTGCGGTATTTATCACATTCAATATTTTACTTTGATGAACTGACTCTTTTATTATCTCATGCGATAATTTATGCAAATGAGTCACATGACCATGTTATTACATGCAGTAACCTTTAACGAATTGACTCGTCTTTTCTCTGAATAAAATTTCCTTGTTGCAGTGAAGCAGAAAAGCTCATGTGGACTGTGCACTGTCTGTTCTGTAGGGCTATATACAAAATTTCTAACAATAGCATACACTGATTCGGGTTATTTCTACCAAAGAAATAAAGCAGAATACATTTTGCCCTACATATATGAATGAAGATGATTTATTGGCAAAAATTGGTAACAGAAACTATGAAAATGTTTTTTTTTCCCAAAATGTGCTGTCTTCTTTCCTTTATATAGCAAAAAGTAAAACACGCAATGGTGATTAAATATGACCAAAAGAAAGCTATATCTGTCTCCAAAACAATGATAAAAACTTGATTTGAATACAGTGTTGCATGACCGAGTACTTGTCATTCAAAGTGAGCTGAAAATAGAAAAATGGTCTGGAAGGGGGTGAAAATGTCTGGATTTGAATTGGTGAATTAAAGCTGAAATACAGGAATTTAGCCACTGTATACAGTAAAATGCTCTAGCTTACTATGGATTAAAAGAGAAGTGTGGACTTATTTTTTTTCCCAATTAAACTTTCCTAGGTGGATGCAGCATCGGTCCGATGCTGCATTTCCCCCCCCCCCGTCAGCTCTAGGTGTGAGAACTCAGTGATCACATGACCACTGATTGCTGAGTTCTCACAGTTGCTCTAAGAAGAGTCACCGCTGTCTGCTCAGCCTCACCAACGCTCACTAGAGTGCTGGGCTGTGGAGGGGGCGGGAGCGGCTGGCCCTGGCTGAGCCAAGTGCTGCTCCAGGATCTGGGGTGGATCCCGACTTTGAAGTCAGGATCTTTCCCCAGTCTGGACCGGGGGGTGACTTCAGCCAACAGTGGGCTTCAGCCGGGTCACAGGAGTGCAGAAAGAACTGCACTCCTCTGACCTACAGGAGAAGAATAGCCAAAAGACCTTTTGCTGTACTTCTCTTTTAAGTGCAATTAGATGCATGCCACTTCGTGGGCCTGTCTTTTAACCATTTGTGACTACGCTATAGCCCGAAAGATGGCTACAGCATGGCCTTCCAGTTCTGGGAGAATGTCCATGGATGTCCTCCCACGTGCGTACCTCTCCCTGGGGCACTTGTCTGGCTTGCTCTGTGAACGATGTGTCCTTTGTACACAGCAGATCACAGGTCACAGTACAGGCCCAATCATAGGGGCCCTTTACCATGTGATCAGCTGTGTCCAATCACAAGCTTGCTGGTTATCTGCTACAGCGTGACCTTCCAGTTCTGGGAAGATGTCCATGGATGTCCTCCCACGTTCGTACCTCCCCCTGGGGCTCTTGTCGGGTGTGCTCTGTGACCGCTGTGTCCTTTGTACACAGCAGATCACAGATCACAGTAAAGGGCTAATCACAGAGGCCCTTTACCATGTGATCAGCTGTGTCCAATCGAAAGCTTGCTGGTTATCTGCTACAGCGTGGCCTTCCAGTTCTGGGAAGATGTCCATGGATGTCCTCCCACGTGCATACCTCCCCCTGGGGCGCTTGTTGGGCGTGCTCTGTGACCGCCGTGTCCTTTGTACACAGCAGATCACAGATCGCGGTAAAGGGCCAGTGACAGAGACTCTTTACCATGTGATCAGCTGTGTCCAATCACAAGCTTGTTGGTTATCTGCATTTCCTTTCCTCATATGCTGTCTCCTTGTGAGGAAAGGAAAGCCAATAACCGGCTAGTCTGACAGTATATTGCTCCATCAGTGCCAATCAGTGCAGATTATCAGAGTCCATCAGTGCAAGTTATCAGAGCACATCAGTGCCTCCTCATCAGTGCAGCCTCTCTATCAGTGCAGCCTAATCAGTGGCTATTAGTGCAGCCTCATCAGTGGCAATCAGTTTAGTCTCATTAGTGCCTCATCAGTTCACATCAGTGCAGCCTCATCAGTGAAGAAGAAAAAATTACTTATTTACAAAAAATTTATAGCAGAAAATTAGAAAACAAATTTTTTATGTTTGTTTAGCAAAAAATAAAAAATCCAGTGGGGGTTAAGTACCACTAAAGGAAAGCTCTATTTGTATGAAAAAAATGATAAAAATGACATATGGGTACAGTGTGACATGGCTGAGCAATTGTTATTCAAAGTGTGACACTGCTAAAAGCTGACAATTGTTGCCTCTTCAACAAATGGGATTATGTACTCCAGCACAGCAGAGCTACTGTATATTCCCCTTTAAGAGGTCCACTTTGACTTTGTGGCAGCAGGTGTCCTCAAAGTATATAGGAAACCACTTTCGTATAGTATTTAAAACTCACATTGACTATTAAAACAATTATCCTCAATAGGATATCAAAAAGCCACTTCAAGCTAACACAGAAAGTGCATCAAAATAAGGGGGCTACGGCAAGATAATCAAAAGTCCCTAAACATAAAAAACCCTGAAGGTCCACCGATGAGTATTAAGGAGAAGAAAAAGCAGCAAAGAAAAGTCCAAGGGCTCAATGTATTGGAAATAAACCCAGAAGGAGCATAAGCCAGTAAAGGGAATCACTCATAATAATGAGTGATGTCCCATTCATGATTGAGACCCTTAGGGATTTGAGAATCGAGTTTAAAAATCAAATACTCTTCCATTTTGCAGAGAAGGGAAAAAGTGTCTCCACCCTGAGGAGAATGATTTATTTTTTTAATAACTTGGACCATAGGTGACTGTTGGAGTCATGGAATCTTATAAAGTCTTGCTAAAATTAGTGTTTTTGCCAGTTTTAATGTTAGAAACGTGGTCCCTTTACCTGCCCCAAAGATGTCCTGTGGTTCTGCCCACACACTGGATGTTACATGTAATGCATGTTAATAAATACACCACAAACTTTGGCAGTTGACTAACTGCTGTTAAAATAATGGCCATTGCAGCACAAAATGATAACATGGGGGTCACTCAGGTACCTTCAACTTGTACACCTTGTGGGACCACATCTAAACATGCCTGTGGAGTGTAACCAAGTGTGGGTGGGCTTCTTAGAAATAAACAGACTAGGTGAGACCATATTGCCAATGGCCTGTGCCCTTCCAGCAACAACCTTGACCCCTCCCTTCAATATTGCTCTGTATCCAGGATATAATAGGGAGGTTCCTGGAAATAAATCCATAATATTGTGGTCTATATTGTGTAGAAAACACAGAGGACATTGGATCAATGTTAGACCTACAGTTGCAAGAAAAAGTATGTGAACCCCTTGGGATTACATGGAGTTTTGCATGAAATGGGCATAAAATGTGCTTTGAACGTCATCTAAGTCACAACAATAGAAGAACACAGTCTGCTGAACATAATACTACACAAACATTAGATGTTGCCATGGTTTAATTGCACATAACATGTAAACATTCATAGTGCAGGGAGGAAAAAGTATGTGAGGCCCTAGCCTAATGACTTCTCCCAGAGCTAATTGGAGCCAGGAGTGAGCCAACCTTGACTCCAATCAGTGTGATGATATTGGATGTGTTGCTGACAGCTGTCCTGCCCTTAAAAAACACACACCTGTTTTGGGTTTACTGGTTTCAAGAAGCACTGTCTGATGTGAACCATGCCTCGCAGAAAAGAGCTCTCAGAAGACCTACAATCAAGAATTGTTGACTTGCATGAAGCTGGAAAGGTTACAAAAGTATCTCCAAAAGCCTTGATGTTCATGTGTCCACGGTAAGACAGACTATCTACAAATGGAGATAGTTTAGCACTGTTTCTACTCTCCCTAGGCGTGGTCGTCCTGTAAAAATGACTGCAAGAGCACAGCTCAGAATGCTGCATGAGTTAAAGAAGAATCCCAGAGTGTCAGCTAAAGACCTGCAGAAATCTCTGGCACATGCTAACATTTTTGTTGACACATCTACAATAAGGAAAACATTAAACAAGAATGGAGTACATGGGAGGACACCACGGAGGAAGCCATTGCTGTCCAAAAAGAATATTTCAGCACGTTTGAAGTTTGCAAAAGAGCACCTGGATGTTCCACAGCACTACTGGCAAAATATACTGTGGACAGATGAAACCAAGATTGAGTTGTTTGGGAAGAACATCACTATATGTGGAGAAAAAAAGGCACAGCACACCAACATCAAAACCTCATCCCCACTGTAAAACATGGCGGAGGGAGCATCATGGTTTGGGGCTGCTTTGCTGCCTCAGGGCCTGGACGGATTGTTGTCATTGATGGGAAAATGAATTCCAGAGTTTATCAAGACATTTTGCAGGAAAACGTACGACCATCTGTCCGACAACTGGTTGATGCAACAGGACAATGACCCAAAGCATACAAGTAATTCAACAAAACAATGGCTGCAACAGCACAGAATACACCTTCTTGAGTGGCCCAGTCAGAGTCCTGACCTCAACCCGATTGAAATGCTGTGGCATGACCTTAAGAGAGCGATTCACACCAGACATCCCAAGGATATTGCTACACTGAAACAGTTTTGTGAAGAGGAGTGGTCCAAAATTACTCCAGATCGTTGTGCAGGTCTGATCTGCAACTATAGGAAACGTTTGGTTGAGGTTATTGCTGCCAAAGGAGGGTCAACCAGTTATTAAGTCCAAAGGTTCACATACTTTTTCCTCCCTGCACTGTGAATGTTTACATGTTATGTGCAATTAAACCATGGCAACATCTAATGTT